GCAGTATGCTCTAACCTGCCTGACCCGCCAGTATGTTTCATTGTGTTTTAAGAAAATAATGATGGCATCATTAGGCAGAGTTCTGCTTCTTCAGGAACTGACAAACGTGCTTAATTTCAGTATTGTGAATTGACAATACGGACTTTCATAGGGTGAAATTTAACAAGTCTCCTTGGACTATCACTGGCACAACGTGGGAAGGGTTGAGCAGGGAGCAGAAAGAGTAGGAAGGACAGCTCAAAAGGGCAGTGAGCCATGAGCCCAGGGTGACCCAGCTGCTGGCTGTGCCATTACTGACCAGGGTGCTGTCCCACAGGGTCTGAGCAGTGTGGGCAGAGCAGGGTGCTAGCTCTGCTGATGGTCACAGAGACAACTGAAGGAGGATAGATTTAGATTAGATATTAGGAAGAAATTCTTTAGTGTGAGGGTGGTGAGGCACTGGAACAGGTTGCCCAGAGAAGTTGTGGATGCCCCATTCCTGGGAGTGTTCAAGGCCAGGTTGGATGGGGGTTTGAGCAACCTGATATAGTAGCAGGTGTCCCTGCCCATGGCAGGGGGGGCTGGAACTAGATGATCTTTAAGGTCCCTTCCAACCCAACCCATTCTATGATTCTGTGATAACAAGGAATGAGTCAGGTCCAGGGTCCATCCAGAGAGCCTTCTCAGGAGCAATAGAACGTGGGACAAAGGCAGGACTGGAGACAAGGACACAGCATAGATCCAGTCCCTATTCAGGAGACAGACTAGAGACATGGAAGCCCAGGCCTGAGCTGAAATGGGGGTCCTGGATGAGGGCGCAGGTGGGGGCCCCAGGGCATAATGCTCAGGGAAATTAAAGCCTCTAAGTGCCCTCAAGGCCCTAACAGAGAAATGTTCGGACAAGGTAGGGTGCAGCCAGAAGATGGTAATCAGGTTCTGAGCCAACTTTTGATCATACCTTAGACTTAGGATAGTGTTGAACAGATATTTATTCATACTCAGTTTTTTCTTCTCACTAGTGCTGTAAGCAAAACCAAGGAAATTTGGCAGCTCTTCTATAAGCTTTTTCTTAAATGTGCTACAGCACTTTATTTCCCGTAATGTCTAATTTATTCTTATATTTAATGTTTGACATCACATCTGCCTTTCATACTGTTTCTCTAATTGAGCAAGGGGAATGTAATGTTTCTCTTCCATACTTATTCTCTACTTACTTTCTTACAGATAAGAGCCTGCCAGAGGTTGGAATGTCACTCAAAATCTTATTTTGTATTGTTTTCTAATGCCCCACTCATGGCATTTGAGAGAATGTAGCCTCACCTAAAGCAAAAATTGCAAGGATTATATATTTTTAATGTTAAAAGCCTTACCCAGCAGGCATTTGCCAACAATCATTTTGTAACATTAATTCTTGAACGTGGAAGATAATGTCTAAGCGCTTGACCTCAATGCAACTAAGTACATAGGCTTCAGTAGTTGTACATATGTGAACATATAACACATCTCATTCTTTGCTGTGCTTTGGATTACAACAGTGAAAAAGTGTTAAGCAAAGCTAGAATAGCAACATCAGACACATTAGCTGGATCAGAGAGGATATATATAGATATCTAATTAAAATATCCAACTGTAGTTCTGAGTCCTTTGATTATTTAGTCTTCAATCTCTCAGTGCAATAAAAATTATTCAAGAAAAAAACCACAAACAAATTCAAAATAAGTACAAAAGCAGCTGCTATTAAGTAGTTAATCTAGAATTAGACTAGCCTTCAAACTCCTTCACAGCTTATCCTAAAGGGAACAAAACATTTCATCTTTCAGAGGCAGCAACTAAGACTGTGATGTTATCTTTCTAACAGTATGGCTTTGAACTGTGACATTTATTCTTACTTCCACACACATTCCTATTCCTAGCTTCGTGCTGAAAGAGGACTTCATTCATATTTGCAGATATTCTTTTGTCACTGTTATTCAACCTTTACCTTGAAGCTTTCTTTTCCCCCATAGAAAAGTGTTTTTATGAAATTTGGTCCATTGAATTTCATGATCACTTCTGAAAGCAAAGGGCACTTTATGATAGCTTTATCTCTGCAACAAAGAGTATGTTAGCAGAAGGGATCTGACCAATGCAGATTCAAATATTTAAAAAAATGTCACAGATTGAATGATATCATCTATATGAAATCACTTGAGGACATAAAGGTGAACATTTGAGGTGATATTTTAGCCCATCTAAACTCAAAGCTTTTCTAATGATTTTCTAGTCTGGATTCTGCCTCTTCCTTTTACTTATTGTTCTTCACTTAAAAGATAACTTAATTGATAAATAAAAATATGAGTAACAATTCCTTTCCTTTTTTTCAATGTAGCAAGTGAGCAGAGAGTACCAGGTAGGGGAACCGAACAGAAATAGGTGACAGAACAAAGCCATCAAGTGGCTGTGAACACAGTCTGATTGATAAACTGGGATGATTCAAGCTTCCAAAAGAGGAACACTACACCATACAAGTGCAACACGTCTGCGGAGCTAGTCTTTGAATCTGAGTGCAGAAGAGAAACCTCTGGGCAGAGAAGGCACAGTTCAAAAGAGGCTTAAGAGGTATATTTTAGTGATGCTTCTTAATAAAAAGGAAGTAGCAAGGTATTTGCTGAGAAGAAATACAGAATTTCAGATGAAGGGTCATATCCCCTCAACTCTCCTTTTCCCTAAAAGAGATCCAGCTGTTGCTGCTTGTCTTCACTTAATCATCCTTTGCAAGAACCCATTTTTTTTCTTCATTTCCCATTCTTCTTTTTCAGTCATCTTCCTGATGATTGTTTCCTGTATTTTTCCATGAACAGGAGTCTGTGAAGAAGTAGAAATCTTAAAACCTGTCATGTTCCTCTTCCTTCCCAGAAGAACAGATTCCTCCACAGTGCCATTTAAAGAGGAAGTAGAGAAGCAGAGAGCTAGAAAGTGAATGGGGACGATCTTAGAGCAGTGTAGCGTTTAAAGGCAATTGTTGAGTTCTCACTGAGTTGTGCATGGCTGAACAGTGCGGTGTCCAATGCCTGGATTAAAGTCTCTCCTTTGTTCAAAGCAATTAAAAGGTGTCAAGCTAATAAGAAAAAAAAATAAATTAGCTATAGTTAATGAAATTAAATTATTGGAAAAATTCCAAAAGATAGAGAACCTGTAAGATTAGACTGAAAACTAAGAAGAATTGATTTTGATTTTGTTAATTAGTTTTCATTTTCTGAGCTGTCCACTTACCACAATAAATACAACAGTACTTTTACAGCCCCTATTTATCCCACTTTTGAATCTTTCAAGATGTTTCCATGGCAACACCACACCAGTTCATCAAAACAATTACCAGTAACTTTGTGTGTTAGCTGACTCAGCATCTCATGACAACTAGCCTGTTGGTGAGGAACACTGGGCCCGTTATGGCTCTGTCTAGTGTTTTGCACCCTTTTGTTCAGTTTGGTGTTTCTACCTTCTTCTACCTGGTGCAAGAAAATTATTGAAAAGTAAAAATTTTGCTAGAAAAAGACCTACTTTTAATATAGGATTTGTTGAATTTACTGATTCCTGTCGGGTCTGTCCAAAGAGGGATGGAAAGGAACATTATGTTTTGGTTAAAAAAGTCTTGTTCCAGAAACAAGGAAGGAAACAAATTCCAAGAACAGCAGTCTGTGATGCTTTTCATTTGCTTTAGAGAATGCTGATCCACACCAGCTCTTTGGCTAGCACAGATTAGTCTGTCTTTCCCAGTTTCGCTGCATTGGCTGGCACATTGATCCTTCTGTTCCTTTCTCTTCCACGCCTACTCCAGCCATCCTTATGAGAGGAGGAACTGCAAGCTAGAGTTAGGTGCCTCTCCCACCACACATCTGTGCATGGTCGGAGGAGAGAGTAGACAATGCGGGATGTTGGGTATTCAGCGTAGCTCCCAGCTGGGACTTCAGATAGATAATATATCCATGTCAACAGCAGAATTTGTTCTGCAGTGACTATAATTTTAGTCATCTATATTAAAGTGCATCTAAAAGAATGACAAGAAACTACAATGGTCCTTTTTTATATAAAAGGATAAATAGAGCATTTTATTAACACTTTTTTGCAGCAACAAAAGTGACACAGTCCACATCTTTTTCATTAAACACAGCAAAAGCTATGGTCACATTTTACATCACTTTGAGGCACAAAGCAAAATATTTTTTTCTTAAGGTCAAGGTATGATTTGCATTAAAAAAAAGGAGAAGAAACAATCCTCAAGTTGTATATTGCGGTAGCAGGGTTTCCAATCACTAGCACAATACAATGAACAGACCAAGAATCCAGAATGGATTATTACATACAATAATAATCATTTGATTGAATTAAGAAATGGATCATTGTTGTCATTTTAGAGTATTAAGAAGTGGTCTGGTGTTGCTAACTTCAGTTTGGTTCAGTTTGGTTTAATCCCAACAACCTCAAATACATACAACAAGCTAAATGAAGGTTAATATATAGTCTAGAAGATTATGCACTTCATAATGCATTGCACTTATTGCTTGGTACACTAATGTTGCAGTCTCTGTTGAGTTATGCTAAAAAGACAAGCGTGATGCTTGTTGGCTTCTTTCAACCCAACACTAGTTATTTGCCACTTTGGTTTATTGTGAGTTTATATGTTACTCATATTCAGTGTCCATTATTATTAGTTTTAATTGAAAGACAAATACATTTTTTATTATTTCAGGGATTTCTAAAATAGCAACATTTTCTATAATTACAGTATCTTCAATAAACTTATATCTATGTATACAACTGTGGCACGATGTGTAAAAATATGAAAGCTATTAAGGGAAGAATAAGGGTTAAATTATTCTCTGTTTCTTCTATTGGCTTCAAAATATTCTGCAAAACAAATACATCCTTTTTCATAGGGCTACTTACTCATAGTAAATTTCTCTTTGGAATTTTGTAAAAGACTATATCTTTTTCTAGGTTATTTTGGTTTTTTCTCTCTCTCTGTAAAGACACCAGTACAAAGTTGGAATATACTGCAAAGAAAAGAATAATAAAGCTTGTTTTTTGATAAAGGGATTTGACAGTCTGCATGAAAAGTCAGACTTAACATTTTATATTATTTTTATATTAGTTGATAAATGCAGGGAAGAACAAGACAATGCCTATAATTTCATAAGGTTCTGTAAAGAATAGAAATAAGAATTTGTGCCCAAACATTCAGTATAAAACTCCTAAATAATTCTTTTATTCATCACAGAGTAGCCTGCAGCATGTAATCACGATAAACATACAATATGCCCTATTTGTTCTTTAGGCTTGATACAATTACCATTAAGGGAACTGGATCAATCCTCTGTAAATGCCTAGGACGCAACCTTTCTTGTTTAAGAAAGCTCTTGTCTTAGACTAAACACACAATTCCTACATTGCACTGAGTAAACGTGTGTATTTAACACAATCTCTTTCAATACAGTGTAACAAATATATAAGTGCATTTTAATTATCAAGTAATTTTGGCTTTCTAAAAAGAGCAGTAGATGTGCCAACTTGGTTGCTTAGTTGTGCTTTAATCCTTAGTTATGAGTTTTAGCTCTTGTATACTGTAAGTATCTAATTGCCTCTATAGTTTTGACCAGTAAACCCTTAAAACTCTAATGTTAATAGAACAAATATAACCTAATGAAAGTGATGAAATGTCACAACTCATACAGATTGCACTTTAATGAATTTTTTTTACAGTAAGACCTTCCTGTTTGATATGTGTTTACATGTTTATACCACATTTTATTCCTGTGTGCAAACAATCACAATGAATTTAATCACAAACACTACAAAATATACCCAATATTTAGGTTTGTTATGAATAATCTCCTTCCTTGTAGTTGTATGAGTCTTGTACTTCCTCTTGTACAAATTCCTCTTTTTTCTCCCAACCATTAGGCCAGCCACCGTTGACCTGGGTTGTAGCACCATAAGACTTGGTGGTACCATAATTTACATAATTCTGAGTAATGTCCCCTGTCTCTTCAGCAAGTTCATCTTCGTGAATAAAGCCACACTTCTCTTCACTTGTCTGTTCAGGGTCTGCCCAAGGTTGTTTCTCTCCTGAAGCAAATATGCCATAGAAGATAACACCTCCGTAATGAACTAAAGCAGCAATGAGGAAGACATACTGCCACTCTTCACGTGTCTGTAAAGAAGAAATTTGCTAAATCAGACCAGTGCATAGACTTAGCTAACTTTCCTGAGCTGAAAGATTTAAATTAGGGATTGAGGCTGTGATAGTCAGCACAACTAAAACATTTAAGTGTCGAGTTTCCAATTATTTGTATCCATCTTCCTTTGAAAAATCACTATTCATTAGCCTACAAAAGCATTGACCTAGTGAGCATATTGTGAAGCACGCTTCCAATTTGCAAGTTCCTGGATGCTATCCCCTTGAGGTCCCAGACTCTAATACAGATATCCTGGCAAGTTGTACTATGGAAAGGTCTTTTTCTTGAAACTCATAGCGTTAAACTGGAAGATTTGAAAACTGTATTGCCATTTACCTTGTTCTTTGTCATTGCTCCAACAATTATAGGGCAAACCATTCCAGACAAGGTCCCGACTCCATTAGAAATCCCCATTAAGATGCTGGCATACCTCGGGGCAATGTCTAAGTGGTTGACATTGAATCCTGCAATACAAATGTCAGTGAACATTCATACCAAAAGCAGAGCATTATTTCAGTTCTGAAAAGTAATGCTATCACTTGACAATTTTACTATGACATATTTGGGCTGTTTAATTGCATTTGTTTTTCTCAAAAAGGCTTACAATGGTGAAATATTCTTAGAGAGACTCTGGGTTTTCATTTTCTTTTAAAAATATATTATAAAAGCATACCAAATATATTTTCTTCCCAAAATTGCAGTTTTAAAAAATATCCCAGTAGTGACTGTGTGGAGTAGAGAACTCAGAAGATATTTAGGCAAGGAGAAAGTTCATAGTTTTGCAGTATCATTTACGACCTTTTCGTGCCGTAAATAACATGTCATTTCTTCTTCCAGCTTGTACCACTTTCCTTCCCTATATTCCATATTATTTTTTTTGTCACACAGACCAGCAGAAGTGAGTTCCCTTCTGTTATGAGTGATAATATGGAGTAAAAAGAGACTATCTATAAATGATATATTAATTATTTCTATAAATATTTGTTTATTCTGTTGCATTGCCAACAGCTTCATTTTGTTCGAATTTGTGCAGTAACTAAATAATCTTAGAAAAAACACATGCTTCCCTGAAGTGACAGAACTCATTGTCCCCAAAATAAGCACTTAAGTAAGTGAAAGCAGAAACCAAACCTTTGGATATAGCAAGATAATAGAAGGGAAAAGGTAGGCAATATGATACGTATAACTGTTAGCGAAAGTACAGTACACTTTTCATGTTGTACGAAACAAGCATGATACCTTGCAGAATACGTGGGATTAAGGACAGGTTTGATTAAGGAGAGTTTAGATGTCTGGCACAAAAGAAAAGAGAGCCTGTTTTAGACATAAGGAACCAGCATGGGAGAGGATACTAAAATCACAGTGGGAAAACAAGGGAAGGCCAGGTGACTTGTGTTTGGGAAAGGCAAAGGGGTGATATATCAGCACGAAAGGGGAAGAGCTGAATTTTAAATCAGAAAAAAATTGCTAGTGATTAGGGCCCATAGTAATAAAAAATGCAACACTAACAAAGCTTTAACTAATATATAGCGGAAAAAAATAGTAAAAGACCTGTATTTAAACAAAGATGTGTAAATTTAGATATCATTGTATAATATAAGTCCACTTCTGTTATATGTTTTATTTCAAGAAAAATCTATGATGTACATTAGTATCTCACTGAAAAGAAAGTCTAATTTGCTGCAATGAATATGGAAAAGATTGAAGTATTTGAACAAAAATAATCTAATATACAAGATGTCGTACTGATTGTATTGTGTATTTATGATCATTACATTCCTGTGTAAAGATCATAAAAAATGTCATTTGAAATTTTGAGTTTGTTTAAATTATTGTCAGTGAATAAAAAACAAATGAGATATTCTACCTCTTAAGATAAAATAATTTACTAAAACCTGTAATATAATCGTACCAGATATGGCGAATCCACTAAAGCCTACTGCAAGCACTAAGAATGAAATAGCCACTCCTTTACTGTGAGAATATCCCACCACGAGAAGAAGAGTCGCTTCCATACCAAAACCTGGGGAAATCATAAAGAAAATCAGGCATCAGATTTCATTCTCCCAAATAGTGCCGGTCTTAGGATATGGTAATATTTCATAGGAAGACAGAGGCAAAACACTACCTCAGAGTGGAATATAATCAGGTATTTCTTTCATCCCTAAACAACATATGTTCTTGCTATCTCAAATAATATTTATTTTTATTCTTTGTATGCTAATTTATTGTTACTTCCTGTCAGTTTTATGATGAAAAGAAATACTTGTGATTTGGTTAGGTCGTTTCAGCCAATCCTAATGGGAATATACACTCAACCTGCTTATGAATTTTGCAGCCCTTATCACAGCCGGGATCCAGCTCGTGTGACTTTACCCTCTCAGAGGTCAGAACATAATCTCAGATAGTTGTCAGGGCTCTCTAAGTGCAGAGGGTGTTTAGATGAGGAGCTAGGGTTCAGTAAGTAGTTTAGGGCAGGCAAATCACCCCCAGAAGCTCATCTGGTTTTTAACAGTCTAAATGCTCTTTTAAATCTATATTGAAACTCGGAATAAGTACGACTGTGTCTACTTTTATTTAGTAACCACATTTGTAATACACAGAAAATGCACGAAGTATTGCTTCATAAGTACATAAACCCATGCAGTTTTTTTACTGTATACAGCATACTATATGGACATTGAACCTGTACAAGAAGCTTTTTAATACAATAGGAAGACTTACCGCCACAGTTCATTATCTTTCTCACAGTAGTGGTTGAAAGAATCTGCCTGCTTCTTAAAAAGTCAGCAATTTGTCCCCCAATAGGAACAATAATTGTCATCACTAAATGCGGCACAGCAGATAAGATACCCACCTAAAATAATCATTAGAATTAGCAGAGTGTAAACCATAAGAAAATATTAATTCTTCATTTTCTGAAGCATTCAACAACCATTTGTTTCTCTTCAATTTCAGGCTATGTGCTGAAACTAAAAATCTTAACCTGGTTTATTAAAAGAACAAAACTGGTGATCTTAAGTTGTCGTATTATATGAAGGACAGGTAGAGTTTTTAAGAACCTCTGATGTGGTGACGCTTTTTGTTTAAAGATTGTTTTCACAGTTTATATTTAAGCTAATGGCTTTTTCCCCCTGACTTACAGCCCCTCTGCCCTTTCTTTTCAGAAAATTTATCATCAAATATGTTGAACTGAATCGCTACATTTTTATTGGTGATGTGTTAGGTGTAGCATTGCCCAGCAAACTAACATGTCTAGAGAGATTCCCTATGGATCATCCTCACATGCACAATGGCCGTTTGCCTTTGATTTCTGACCATCCCTCAAGCTTCAAATTTCACGTGGGCAAAAGATATGTCTGAGAAACTCTGTACGTAGTGCAAGATAACATGCTAAATATCCATTGACAATATTTAAAATGCTATACATACTAGCAAAGTAAGCCATAATAATTTTGTGATGGCTGTTCCAAGATATAATAATATATTTGAAGACCATTCCTTCAAAGCAGGATAGGGTATCTGTGAGCGTGGCACGAACTGCCACCTGCTATCTCCTGTCAGCATAACTACCTCGCAGATAGTTTGGTTTAGTACGCGTGGCATTTTGTTCTAATAGGGAATTCTGATCATTGTGTATATCTGAAAAAGTGCTTAAGCACAGGGGTTTTTGCATAATTCCTGTCTGAGCAGTGTGTCAGCTGGCCTCATGTCGGACGTGACTTACCTCAGTGTGCAGAGCAGACTCCATGAGAATAAAAAGAAAACAAGGTTTCTCTACTCTTCAATTCAAGTGAAATTGTGTATTTCACTGCAGTTTATATATGTGACAACTATGTTGTGACAGCTAGCATCGTGTTAATAGATGTTTCTCCCAGTAAGCCAGATAATAGCTATGAGGTAACTATGGTACCACAGTTACTGCTTTGAGGTGTTCCTGACTAAATAATAACTATTGATTTATGAGCATCCATATCCACAGCAGGTGACAAGTGACTTTGCTGTCACTGTTTACAAAGCTCCGTGTTTCTTTGAATACACTCTCAGAAAAATCTCCTAGAACAAAATGATCAGATTAATTCTATAGGATGCAACCATTCTTACTGCATGAGTAACAGATGATGTTTCAAGCATAGCAAAGCTTCTTAAAATAACTCCAGCTAAAGATGGAAGCCCATCTTTAAATCCAGGATGGCATTACATAATTTTGACAGTACTCCATAATATGGCAACACTTTGGAAGCTACTCATCTAATTGTCATTTACACCACAATTTCGGGTGACAATACCTGGTGGGACAATTATCAAAAGAATACAGGTCTCTCAAAAGCACAAGCCCCCAGGGACAGAAGTGTAATGGGTCTCTCAATACCTTTCTAATACTATGCATGACCTGGTTTCAAGCACTTAACTGAAGGTCTTTTTGCAACATGGCCCCAAGTAGATCATCACTAAATCTCATCCTGCCTTCACCTTCCCCTATCCAACCCTTTGTCATTCTTGTTACTTCACTTACATGTGCTGGTCAAGGGAACAGTAACTGAGAGGGATAAGATTTAAGACTTGTAAACCCATGATAAAGATACAGAACACTTTTCTCCTCCTAATAAATACCACAAATGTAGCTCTGATATTTACTTAGCTAAGATAAAAAGCTTTACATTTTTTTACATACCTTGCTTATTTCAAATCCAAAGACTTCCTCAAAGTAAGCAGGCTGACTAATAAGCAGCAAGTAAAAAGTCCAGCTTCTACAGAAGTTTGCAACAATTATTGCATAGACTGGCATAGATGTAAAAAATTTTCTCCATGGAGTTTTATATTTCTGAAACATAGAAAGGGGGATCCAGTCACCATTTTGACCATTATCGTTTTTACCTATACTCCAACAAGCTCATATATGTACAGTTTTACATATCTGAATTTCAATGACTTCAGTTATCATAAAGTACATGCATCCACATTTGGATGATCAAAATTTAATTTAAAAACGTAAGCAAGTAAAAATTACTACAAAATGCACATGTGGACAAACTCAGTGATACTTAGCTCTATCACAACACTCATGTACAAGTGCCATTATCTCAATCATGTAAACATGAATATACTAAATCCAAAATAATAATGTGTTTTTAAAAGACAATGTTGCTATATCAAAGGCAACAGTCAGATGTTACACTGTAAGTGCACTATTTCATCCAGATTTATTTTAAGCATGTATTTTAGCATTTAAGTCCTAATCCCAGCATTCTGAATAATTTTTTTATCAAGCCTCAGCTGAAACTGCTTAGCCAATATATATTTTGTTTGTTTTATTGTATTTTTAAAATGAATTGCATAATGGAGGGAAAAAAAACCCACAAAAAACCAAACCACAGATGGATAGAACTACAATCCTGCTGAGTCCCAGCACCTCTCCACGAGCCCAGGGTTCTGCCCATCTGTGTTGATCCAAATACAGGATCCAGACCCAGATGAGTGTTTGAAAATCACTTCAGCAAGGTTTCAGGCTGAATTTGGTCTCCTGCTGATTTGAATACTGGCTCTTCTTCAAAGAAAGCCAGCCCAGAGATAGATATATGCAATACCTTGTATACCTATTAAATTACACTTAAGTGAGAGCTAAGGATTGTGTGACTTAATTAATGAGAAGCCAGATAGAAAAGATACCTTGATACTATGGGAGGAAACTAATCACTTCCAAAAAATGTTTAATTGAAAAGCAACAATAAAAAATAGACACAAAATATCTAGCCCAAGTTAGAATTCTATGGCCATCCTTTGAAATATCTCATTTCACCTAAGGTTTTCAACAGCAGTTACAGGTATTAAGAAACCACGAACGCTGCTGAATGCTGTTAAGTATCAACCAAGACACTCGTCAAGAACACCTAACAATGTCAGCTATCAAAGAAATGACTCTGTGATATTTTCAATTCCCTATTTAATCTGGATCAAAGTTTCTTTACTAAGAGAAAAATGGTTTATTCCTCACTTCAATCAAGAACCAATGTTCTGACCAATTAGAAAACATAATGAAGAGTGGTAGTGAGAGTCTACGGGGAATGGATGGTGTACAAATTTGAGCAGAAGGGAGGCTTAAGAAGCAAAATTGTTTTACCTTCTTGAGTTAGTAAGCATAGTGATAGTTTCTTTAAAGCTTTTCAATAGTTAGAGAAATAAGAAAAATATTATTTAGCATGATAGGATTATTAAATGGCTAGAAAATTCTCTGCTGTTTTTTAGGAGTTCTTGAGAACTAATCCAGTACAGAACTAAGTCAGGAGAGGCTTGATAGCACGTTTCCAGCAAAGTTACCACAATAATGGGGAACATGCCTATGGGTCTCCTAGCATGCTCTATTGCAACTTGCAGTCTTTCTTGCAAAAATGAAACATAGAGTAGTCAGGATTTGCTTTTTTTCCTGATGTTCTGAGGACCTCAAGAGACACTGAGTAGAGCTGTTCCTCCAGTGTTCTTTCAGGAAGAGGAAAACCTTCCAGAAGGGCTTATATAGGAAGGAAATGAACCACTTGAACTCAAGGTACTATGAAAGTCTCAATAAAACTGCAATTTCAAATGAATCAGTAGGGGATTTTTATATACTTTAGAGTAGAAAAAAAGGCATAAATTCCATGAGTGATCTGCTAGAAGAACTGGAACCTCTATTCTCTTATTGCAGAAGCAATATGCACCCAGAAATTCATCAGTAGATTTCAGATATCCCCACCCCCAAAAAAAATTCAAATGTTTGAAGTATGCTTTTCTATCTTAAAGAAGAAGGGAATTTGAAGGGTATTTTGTTGTTTCTATTTGGTTTTGTGGGGGGTTTATTACTATCTCATAGGAAACAAGTTGGTGAGTAATATTCTTACTTCCATTGCACCTAGGAGGTTGGCACTCTCTCCAATGCTTTCTTCTATGTATCTCCTTTCTTCATCTGTGATTGTAGGATGCTTTGCAGGGCTCTCATATGAAACCAAAAGCCAAAACATATACCAGACTATACCAAAGCTCCCTTTGGAATGGAAAGAGAGACTTTAAAGAGAAGTGCACAGTAAAGCAGCAAACAAGGAAAAAATCTGTGAATAATCATCACAAATTTAAATGTCAATTGTTGCTACTGCTTCCCTATTGAGTCATTCTAAGAGAGAGTTGGATCCTGTAAATAACATTTTTTGCAAAATACATGCCGAATTGGAGCTCAGTGAAGTCTTCTTTGTTTCATTTACAGAATTATTTAACTGTAAGCAAATATTCACTGATATTTTAACATCAATTTGTACAACGAAATGCAATGAAATAGCTTCCATTTCATTTCACCAGACTATAAATGAAGTTCCATTCTGCTTTAAGCCACTGTTGTTTGATTACTGCACTAAATTTTTCACTTGCAAAATATAAGATTGTGGCATTGTTTTCAAGATAACAATGCACTTCCTGAGTAGTTTACTAAATTTCTCTAAGGTTTCCCTCTAAGTCACATCAAGTTTACACTGTAGAATGAACTCCTTTGGGACATTTTTTTCCATCAGTGTAAATTAAGGTAGCACAACTAGAGTGAATGAAGTTGTGTAGGCCTTCAGATAAAAATCAGGACATCTTGGTCAGGGCATGTACTCTAAACTTACAGTTATATAAATGAAAGAGCGATGTTACATGATCTGAGATTCTATAGATCTGCATAGCAGTTTGCACTACTTGTGCTAGAAGCGATGAAGGTTTCACAGTGAACTAGCTTCTCTTCTTATTCAATAATGTTGCTTTCCTACGCTCTCCTTTAGATTCTATTCTTTCATTGTCCTTTTCTCTAGACTGTATTTTTAGCTTTACAGACACACTTTTTTTTTTTTTTTTTGGCCTCTGAACAGTAGCTTTTACATTTATAGAAAGAGTAGAATAAGGCCAGACAATATTGGAGTGAGATGAGCAAAAATGCATACCATACACATAGAACACAGAAGACCACCCAGTATATTGCACTAGAATTCCAGCTAAAGGCATTGCAATAACAGCTCCTGCATAGGAACCTACAAAACAAGACGTGTGTGGATGAAAAGGGAGAAAAATTCAGTCTCAAAATACTTTTACATTACAGATGAAAGAAAGACAAAAATAGAAAGTTACTTACCACAAAAGGAAGTGGTTGCTAACCTACTTCTTTCTAATGGGGGGGCCCACTTGCTCCAAATACCGTGGCAGGCAGGGTAGGTGACCCCCTGGAGAATGGGTGTGCCACAAGTTAGCTAATGCTGCTCAATATCAATCACTCAGTTCATTGTCTTTGCATCTTTTTTTTTTTTTTTTTTTTAAAGTGCTACAAACAAGAAGTTGAGAATGCTTTGCATTTTACGGTGAAGTCTGAGCACAGCCATAGAAAAACTTCAATTTCTATTAAAGTTGAAATGGGTTTTGTGTATTACTCCAAATCATTAAGGAGGCCTTATGAAACAGATATAAACCATAATTATTTCCTTTTGCTCCCCCTCTCCCTTCCAGGAAAAAATTGTGAAGAATTAAAAAGAAAGAATCTTAATGTACAAGTACCAGAGTCAATGGAAGGACGAAAACACAGACCCTGTGGAGTCTTTCTAATGCTGGGCTCATTTCTCCAACCCTCAGTTTGGTGGCCTTCTAACATTTTTTGATCTAACATTTAAAGTATAATTTAGGAAATACAGATTACTGTTCCGCTGCTCTAAAACTAGAAAAGAAGATCAATGAGAGCTTAAAAATATAATGTTAAGAGAGAAGTTTTTCAGTACCTTTGTCTTTCATGAACCCTCTTGAGCACTTAAAGCAAATAATTGGCTGATATCAGTTGATTTGATTTCAAAGCAGTTATTTTTAGGTGTCTCTTCAAAACCAGCCTTTAACTTAATCATAGGAAGACTACACAGAAATGACGGCATCTTGCAGTGTTGACATTTTAGAAAATTTAATATGAAATATACATTCATTTTTTTCACAAAATTCATGCTTTAAATTTATTATGATGTATGCATAGTTATACAGAGTCTCTTTTAACTTAATGTTTTCTTTCCTATGCAAGAAGTAGAAAAAATTAGTAACTTTTGGCAAATGTTGAGATTATCATAAATGTTGAGATTATCAGTCTCACTGTACAAAAAAGGTTGTAAAATACATTCTTCTATTTTGAAAGAAGATCCTATAACCATTTTAATGTTCATTTCAATCTTTCATTAATTTTTTTTTAAAAAAATCAAGATGTAATCTAAAGATTGTCATGATTTATTGTAAACTTTCTTCAGACTGTCCTGTTTGAGAAGTTTTGCATTCACAATTGCTTTGAACAGTATCACAGAAATGAGTGGGTCTAAAATAGCTATTTTATTTTGTAATTACCCACTTGCTTCTGTTCCTCTCCTCTTTGCAGTCAAGCGCACCTCTGTACATGCAGATCACTTTTCAGGAATGGATCCATATTTATACATATATACTTTAAGAACTTGATTGACTAACTTTCAAGCACATTCTGCACCTTCTTTTGTAGTCTTTTTATACAACAAAGCACATGAATTAAAATCAGCTCACACAACAGAAGTGTGTAGCCCTGAGAAACAAAGAACCAGCAATCACAGGCTTAAAAATCTGTCTTTCAGTAAAGAAACAAATAAATAAATTTAGAATGCAGGCTCTTTTTTTTTCCTCTCTTAAATCACAGTAAATCTCTCATTCATATCAATAAGAGCATGTTTAGGGTCTATGATAGAAGCTTAATTCTTTATTATAGATGTAATCTGTGAGGCTGGACAGCACATAACTGTTGAGAATAACACCAGTAGAAGTCCTGTATAGTACAGGATTTCAGTGCAACTTCCGTGTTAAATACATATCTCACTGGCTTCTCAGCAAGGGAAAACTTTGCTGTGCAATTTTATAGATGAAGGAAAATCAAATAGCTGTAATTCATACATTGAAATCCATTACACTGAAAATCAGTCATAAACTGAAAGCAGTTTTTATTTTCCCCTGAAAAGTTACAATTGCTAATTAAAAGCTAACAAGCAGCTATCACATTTACTGCTTATTTTAAAATTTTTCCATACCTCTACAAGGCCCTGCAAGATCCTAACAAAGATGACACACCCATAGTGCACCCTGGCTGCAGACGGTATTAACATGTTGAGGGAGGATGTCAGCAGGATAGCAGCACCAAATACTCTGCAAAGGTGGGGAAAAAAAAAGGAAAGGAAGTAACTTCAGAGTTGTTCCAATTGACTTATTCCACACACTCTCACATATCAATATAGATGTGTTTAAACATATGTTCTTTATGTAGGAAATATACTAACTGCTGGAGTGGATTAGTGTCTACTTCCATCTAATGTAATAACCTGTCTGATAAGACCCAGACCAAACATAGATGTATATATCTATTCAGCATAATTTCCTAAGGAAATACATCTTATGCAGTCACTCTCCCTATAAAGCCCCACTCTTTAATTTAATTTTCATATCTATTTCAACCAAATCTGACTGAATTCACTACCCGCTAGAGAAATTAGAAATTAGGTCTCCAAATGGTTTGCTAAAACAAGTGGCCAAGTAAAAGAGAGATTCTTGTTAGTGCCTTAATTGTAAGAAAGTGGCACCATGCATTCACTACTTCTAAAGCAGAAGAGAATCCACTTTTATAAATGCCAGAGCAGCAGGAAGAATTTCAAACAGAGCTGGGATTTTCGTAGACACAAGAGTTAATCAATCTGGAAACACATTTCCATAGAAAACAGATCACTCTTTCTGTTGGTTTTTCAGAGGCTATTCATTGAATATTGCTGATTTTGATTCCAACAGCATCCGAAGAATTGGTTCAAATAAAGTGCATTACAAGGTCTAAATACATGTGTGAATTGATGATTCATTTTCAAAATTCCACTGCTTTGACTGAATTTTAATTTGATTCAATTAATATCTGCCCCTTGTAGGAGGAAGCCTTTTCTCCAGCATTATTATATCATTTTTTTTTTCATATTCGTGCATTCCTTTACTGTGGAAATAATCCTTCCTCCCCCCCAATTCCTTTCAGTGGAACTATGCAAAGGGATGAAGCCAGCAGCAATGACTGGCCGCTTTCTTTATACAAAACTATGTAACGTTAAGATAAATCCTGGAGATGTCTTTAACATATGACATCACGGCATCTGATGTGGAACTGATTTGACAGAAACCTTTAACCTTAGCATGTGTTCTTCAGAAATTGATACAGTGCCATAAGTTAGTGAGAAACAGACCTTGGGCTAAAGAAGCAGGAAGCAGCGATAAGTTTCAAGACAAAAATTCTTCCCAAAGACATCTATGTTTCACATTCTCTATTTATAATTACAGCCTGAGATCAATCTTTAAATAGCAAACCGAATATACTCCACTTTTATTTGACAAATATTAAAGGGCAACAGAAAAAAATCTTCTTGGCATAGTAAGGAAGCGTTGTTACATAGCTCTAAATCTGGTCTCCTCATTGTGTTCCCTGTGATCCCCATCTCGTGTTAAACAAGGTCTGGCCGGCTGTGCAGCACATTTCTGGCTTTGTTTGGCAGCATGTTCAATACATTTACTGGGACGGACTGGTGCGTGTGTTTGTGTTGCGCTGTGTGAACTCTTTTGGCCTGAATTCTGTCTTTACTCTTAACTTCTTTATGTGGAAGTATCTACTCTAAAAGTATGTGCAGTTCACTTCCTTACATTTTAATACCCCCCATATGTTAACATAAACCACAATGGTGTTTTGGTTTTCATTTGCTTTTTTTCTTTCTTTATTAATGAGAAGAGTTTGGGACTCATAGGAGCTTTATTTGTGATTTTTACAAATTCTTTAAAAAAGTTAGATGTTCTTTAAAGAGCAATAGACTGTTCTAAAAGTTCATCAAGAAAATGTTTATTTGCTTGTAAGCAGGAAGAAAGGATTGTTTGGTTTCTAGCCTTTCCTGTTTATTTTCTGAATAGATATTTGGCTAAATGTCTCATGCCACGATACAGTTTTAAATTGGTGATTGTGCATAGACTTGCTGGAGCAGATTCTTAGCTAGTGTGAATCAGTGCAACTCTTTCTAAATCACTATTTGTTTAATCATGCTCAGATAGACTATTTAAAAATGCCATCTCTTTCTAAGGATGACATTTGCAAAATTGTTATGGTATGTAACTGTTTCTTCGAGGAAAATTGCTCTAGTTTCTCAATTCTGTATCTGAAATCAGCTTCTGTTTGCCATAACTGAAAGCTGTGTTTCCTAGAATTGCCTTTGTTCTCATGTTCACTAAAGAGAAGCTCTTTCCTTGAGTCTGTTCCTTCTAGAACAGAAAGGAAAATGTAATTTAAGAAATGATCAGACATGCATCTTCCAAATGAAAATCTTGCCTGTATTTAGACACGCAAGTACCAGTGAGCAGATAATGAAATAATTCCACAATGTCTCTTATAAGTCAATTCTCTCTCGGAACTATGTTTTATTGGAACAGCCTTCTCAAAAACAGATCAATTAAAAAAAAAAAATCTATGGATTTAAGGGTAGAATAAATTAGAGTTAAATTATGATTCTTGTCAGAAATGGCTTTTTTATCCTTTTCCTTCAATGCATATTAAAAGTGGTACTATGAATTTAGTGCGTGCCTATTTTAGTGGGTCGATTTACTCTATAACTCTTAGTAAAGAACAAATTCATCTTCCTACATTTGCTTTGCACCTCTCAACACACATCCATAAATATAATCTGTATTTCTCCTTTGTGCTCTTTTGTCTGTTACATTTATTTCACCTCCATAAATACTAGATTCTTCTTCCTAACAGAGTATTGTAATATAGTTCTGGGTTTTGTGCAAACTTACTGGCTTATTGTTTTAAATATCTTAGCTAACTACATTTATTATGATTTGGATCAAATAAGAATGATTTTCAGCTACAATAAATCTACATATATTTGAATGCTGCTCACATTCTAATATATTTAATTGATAAATGAAGCATTCTGATTGTTCCTAAGGCATTTCTAAGGCATTTTACTGACCCACACATCAAACTTCAAAATTGTGTTGTTGTTTTTTTTGTGCTTACCTTCTTGTTACGTTTATTAAGCTAATGATTTTATGATGTTATGCACTTTAGTTTCATTTCTGCTTCACAAACAATTCTCATTTGCTCAATTTTGCTGCAATGTCAACACCACACATGGATTAGAAACCATGCTTTTCTTTAAGATCCTTATGTTCCCACAGCAAATTGACAATACGCGGGGTTCCATGGTTGTATCTATTGCAATCAAAGATGGATTATGTTCATTCTCAAACAGATGTGGTTCCCTGTTTAAAATAAGACTTTCAGCCTGTTTAGGAGTGTTCATTCCTATCCCACACCCCACTGCATTTTTTATACATGTATCTGTTTGTCCTCTTGATATTCCGATATCATCCTGAATGGACAGGTTTGGCCCTTATGAGATGCAGAGTCTTAAAGTTGCCGTGCCCTGTTGTGCATTCCCTTGGTCATGCCCTCTATAGTAGCATGGACTTGTGGAGAAGGCTTTAGACCTCAAGCACAAACAGCACTAGAGTTCACGTCAGCCAAGTCTTGCTGCATGGTGCGTTCCAGCCTAGGAATTCCATGTGGCTGTGCTATTGAATTTTCATTCAGAGGTATCCCTGCATATTCATTTCATACTGGGCATGCTCCAAACCCCACAAAACATATTTTAATGCCATGGCACAAATGAAGAGCTTGAGCAGATTGAAGGTAAACTCTGGGAAAACTACAGTATGCCACAGAGACAGAGCAGCAGAGGCCAATGACATCGCCATCATTCTCAGCTCTGGCATTAGGAGGGAATTAAAATGCCCTGACATGCCTTCGGCAGCCCCTAGGCTTCAGGGAAAATTCCTTTCTGACCCAAAATCAGCAACAGTGTAACTATATATAGAAGAAAATATTCATATACAGAAGATGACAAATGAATAAATGCAATAGTAGTATGTCAAGGAGAGGTAAAGAAGGTAAATCCTGGTCCTCATAAGTGACCAGAAGAAGCTCTGAAGCAAAGAATTATGCTTTGCTTATCTATTTCTATACTTGGTAGACTCAGTCCCAAAAGACAGAATCTAACATTGATCCTCAGTGTTTTACTGACATTGGCATTATATGAAGGTCATGAGCTGTGACTTAGTCCTCCTGTAATACAAGTAGTAATAATAGCAAAATCATATTTGACTAAGAGACATTTGGGATGGGACCAGAGGAAGGAAATGACTCTGACAATTCAGGAAAAATGCTTAGAATGGAATGAGGTTGCAGGGGGAATTAATCTTTTTGGGTTTCAAGCCAATTGGCTCATTTTTCCCTTTGGGGACAAACTAAAGAGAAAGAAATGTATTTATTTTCATCTCTGGATTTCTAATCTCTGCATCTGTGCAGGCCCACTATTCTCATTTTCCAGGCAATTCATATTGCATGAGCATTCTGCATGGACGTGCATTACAGATATTGTTACTTGGCTGGAAGAAGTGCCAGCTCAAAAAGTGAGCTGAGAACAGTGGGAGCACAGACGCGTGCCAAGTGCTGAATGCCAGATGGGTGACATATTGGGTTACACATATGATATCTGAAAGTAAGGGGTCCTGGTTGGAAGCATCCTATTACCCCAGTCACGGGGACTGAAAATTGCTGCATTGACTCCATACAACTAAAATCCCTTTCATGTGTGATGGGGAGGAGTCCATTCCTCAGCTGGCTGAATCCCACCTATTTCTATTTATGTCATTTTGAAATATAATTAACAAATTCCACACTTATCTATGTCTCTGTTCTCTGAATAACTGGTCCAAATTTGTGAAAACTAAATTGTTTTGAAAACTAAATTGTTTTGAAAACTAAATAATATGTCTGTTCTAAAGCATATGGAGTACCTTAACTAAAGTTTATCCTTTAAAAAAATAAAAATCCAAGAGTAATTCTGTATATTCAAAACAGCATTTTTTAATATTTATTTGAAAAATACTATAGGATTAAGATGCTTAAATATATGCTGTATCAATGAATTATGAATGCTATTTCATTAAAATTCAAAATAATTAAAGAATAGTAAGTGTTGGTCACTGACAACTACAAAACAAGATTGCAGAAGTTGGTGAGCTGGTTATTGCCATTCCTTTTCCTTACAGAAAACACATAAAATATG